AAGAAGCGCAGCGCGGTAGCGAGTGTCACTAGTGCGAAGGTGGGTGACTAGGTCGGCTACTGTGGCAAAGTCGGACAGCTCTGGGAACAGGTAGGGCATGAGAAGGCGGCCTAGAGCAGCAGTGGCCGGGGAGGAGTAACGAGCGACTACAGCGTCGTACAATGCTTTCACAGTCTTATGCTGTCCGAAGTGGGCGCGTTCGGCTAACGGCAGGTGGTTGCAAACGGCTAGGCGAGCAGCAGCGTCACGAGTAAGCCACTATGAGCGAGTCGTACTGTCAGCTGTGGCGGCAGGGGCGAGAGAGGCGCCAGACGTGAGATCAAACAGTGAAACTCCGTCCTTGGAATCACTCAGTAAGAACGGCTGTAAGTCGTCGGGCCACATATCGAACTCTATCGGGCGGCCCTCCGGATCGAACGTGAGGACACTGAGCGTGGCCATAGCGGGCAGAGCGGCCGGGCGTGCTAGTAGCAGAGCAGCACATAGGCAGGGCTAGGCAGGGCGGCGCAGGGCGATGTAGCTGCGAGCGACGCACGGGCAGCAGGAGGGCAGCGCTGCAGTGAGCGGCGCGCGGTAGGGCAAGGCGCGTGGCGGCGAGGCGCGCGGGCAGGGCAGGGCGGCGCGGCGCGCGGGCAGGGCACGGCGGCGCGGCGGCGCGGCGCGCGGGCAGGGCTGGGCGGCGCGGCGGCGTGGCGCGCGGGCACGCGTGCGGGCAGGGCAGGGCGCGGCGCTGCGCGCGGGCAGGGCAGGGTGCGGCGCGGCGGGCGGCACGCAGGCAGCATGGAGCCTGCAGCGGCGGGCGGCGCGCGGGCAGGGCGCGGCGCGGCGGGCGGCGTGCGGGCAGCGCAGGGCCGGCAGCGGCGGGCGGCGCGCGGGCAGCGGAGGGCCAGCAGCGGCGGGCGGCGCGCGGGTAGGGCACAGCGCGGCGGGCAGCGCGCGGGCAGCGTAGGGCCTGCAGCGGCGGGCGACGTGCAGGCAGGGCAGAGCGCGGCGGCGCGGCGCGCGGGCAGGGCAGGGCGCGGCTCGGCGGGCTGCGCGCGGGCAGCACAGGGCGCGCGGGCGCGGCGTCACGGCGGCGGGCGGCGCGCGGGCAAGCAGGGCGCGCTGGCAAAAAGGGAGCGCGCTGCTGCGGGCAGCGCGCGGGCAGGGCAGAGCGTGCGCAGGCAGCGCAACGCAGGGCAGGGCAGGGTAGGGAAGCGCGAACACAGCGGCGCGACGGGTGGGGTAGCGCTACTCGGTGGGCCCCTAAGAAACGGTCCTAGGCTAGGACCTGCTCTGAAACCATGTCAGAATAATGAACGAGAATGAAATGAACTAGCAGCAGGATGGGTACAAGTAGGAAATCCTAATTGGGTTGTACCCCTTATGGGCTACCCCACTACAGCCTAAACAATAAGCAACACATATAATTTTGACACAAAGACACTAGAACAAGGTAACTGATCAACAGCTGGTTGGGTGAAGCAGTGGATGTCAAATCGGGGGTGCGGCAGGGATGTCCGCTTGCCCCTTACCCTTTCCTCTGTGCGGTGGAACCCTTGGCGCAGGAAGCAGTCCGGCGGAAGCTGGGTCTCTGCAACAAAGCAAACCAACGATTAGCTTATGTTGGTTACGCAGATGACACAACGCTTTTCTTGGAAGGAAAAGGACAAATCGCCAGGGCCAAAAAAACTTTTGGATTACTTCGCCGGCTTGTCGGGGTTGCAGACAAACAGAGCCAAGTCGGTCATTCTTCCGATTGGTCATAATCTCGAGCGGAGGCCGGGAACGCTTGGCGGTTTTAAATGGGCGAAGGCGGATGAAGCAGAGCGCGTCCTGGGAGTCTGGGTCACTCCTTCGGGCAGCAGCGAGCCGACCTGGAAGCGGGCCTTTGAAAAAATCATTGTGGAGTTGATTAAGTGGAAGGCGCTCTTCCTCACGATTGCGGCATGGGTGGTGATTATTAACAGCTACATCGCACCACGGATAGCATATCAGGCACAAGTCTACCCCCCGACGGAGGAGATATGGAAGAAACTCATGAAGCTGGTGCACAATTTTCTGATGGGGAACAATGCAACGGCGGAAAAGGGCTTTGTGTTGTGGAACTGGGGGCCGAAGGTTGACGGAGGGCTGGGGGTGCTGGATCCGGAGATCTTACTCGCTTTTCTTGCTGCGCGAAGAATTGGCGGGCTGCTCTTGTAGGAGAACGGGATGAAAAAGGAGGTAATGCTCACAGCGGCTGGTCTCCCGCTCGGAGTGGACACCTTTTTGGCGCACGTGAAGCTGCTGAAACACTGGCATGGGGATGGAGAGCGCTGGAAGCGAGCATGTGAAACTTTCATGAACTCTCCGATCGCTGACACGGGGAAGTCCTGCAGCAGAGATGAAGTGGCGCAGGAGAGGATCGTTTTCAATCGGATGCTGTTACTGAACGGTATGAACCCAGTCGGGGGGCAAAAGGAAGCGAAAGGCCTCTCGATGACGCGACTGGGCGATTTGGTAACCTCCCAGTGTGATGGTGCAACGGAGATTAAAGACATTGACACGCTGGAGAAAGAGCTGCAAAGCAGAGACTCGGAGCAGCTGGCTCTCAAAGCTTTTGGAGCAGCACCTCTGGAGTGGAAAACAGCATTGGTCCCAGGCACTGGGCAGGAGGAAGAGGAGGGTGCGGTGTGCAGCCCCGCTGTCACATCTGGAGGAGGGGGACATGCAGCGGCGACAATTTTCCGCTCGGCGGTTTTCACGAACGGGAAGCTGGCACCTTTGAAGCAACTGAGGGAGTCGTGGGCCAAACCTGATGCAATCTTAACGAAGCAAGCGAAGTGGTCTGGCAAGTGGAGCGGCAAGATTGACTGGGAACGCATCATCCGCACACATAACTCGCTCGTCATATCGAACCGGCCGCGTGATGTCCTCACACGCATTCATAACCTGAACCTACAGGTTGGGGAGAGGGTGGAATTTCTCAGCAGCAAGCCTAAATGCCCATATTGCGGGGAGACGGAAACGCATGACCACTGTCTTTTCAGCTGCTCGAAGATTCAACCTGTGGTCTCTGGGCTCCGACGAGCTTTGCGCATGCTCAATCCTGCGAGGGCGCCTGCCTCCCTGGGTGATCTACTATTCCAGGAAACTGGAACCTCATCGGACTTCCCAGAAGCCACGCTAACGGCCATCACACTCCACCAGTTGTGGGTGGAACGTTGGGATGCAAGTTTCCGAGGGCAGAAGTTCAGGGCTCGTCGGGTGCTCAGGAGAATTGGAACAGCTTTTCGGCTGCATGCAAGGGTGTACACGAGGGTGACGGGAGCAAAATGTCTGAGGCCGGGCAAGTCGGGGAAGCACAAGAGGGTCAGAACCGTGTTTGAAGCATAAAAAAAAAATGCTGATGAGGATCAGAAAGGATGGCGACAAAAAATGGAAGTGGACGGCAAGCTTTGCAGCGATTTGGAACAGGCCAAGGAGGGCATTCCTACCGCCCTAGTCATCCTGTTGGACAGCGCAAGGTGTCTGCCCTCACGCTCAGTTACGACTGCTATTGTTTTATGCATTCTCTTCATTAATGTATACTCCAATTAAAAAAATAAAATAAAAAAAAACCAATTGAGTGAAACGAGTTACCAAATGCGTTAAAGGCCCCTTCTTTGTTACCATTGGCATACTTTCCCTCATAAGAACCCTATATCACACTGCGTCGTTGATGTCGCTAAATTTCGCATTCATGAAGACTTGTGACTTGCCTCTGCGGAATCAACTTTCGTAAGGTCGTTCGCAAGCAACCCGACACCCAATAGCTCCAGCGAGACAAACCACCCGATAGCCCCAGTGAACTCACTGTACAGAACCACCATCACAGCGAAAGTTTTGCGCAAACCCGCGAAATCGCGGTTCTTTTTATTTTTGCCACGCGACATGCTTATGATCGCGGGAACCGCGATTTGTTTTATTGTTCCCACAAATTTCAAGAGAAATCTAGTTAGACTTAGTGGATCACATGTACTGCCCTGTCCGCGGGCAAAAATAAAGCCCCTATATGAAAGGCATGCGTTAGGGATGCATCAACCCTAAACACCTAGAGGCAAGGTGTTTAGGGTTGATGCCTCCCTAGCGCATGCCAGGCCCTAATGGGTTTTATTTGTGCCCGCGGGCAGCGCAGTACAAAACTTAACTAAATCTCTGTTGAACTTTGTGGGAACAATAAAACAGATCGCGGTTCCCAAGGCATGCCATGGGGCGATAATAAAACGAACCGCGATTCCGCGGGTTTGAGCAAAACTCTCCATCACAGCCTATCCCGTGCCAGCTGGAGCACTCAAGCGACGAACCGCACTAGGTGAGGCGGCGGCGCGCCACCACTGAATTCTGGCAAGGGCGAATTGTTTTCGTTCGTTTACGATTGACTTTGGAAGGTTCATTCTGGTGCACATTGGTCTAAAGCGGTGAATGCCGGAAACCCGCTCCCAAACGTGTCTGACCGTATTATACCGCGTCAAAGGAAAGAAAGTTTAACCCTCCCTTCTGGAAATCGCGTCCTCGCGATGGTCCCAAATCAGCTCCGCGCGGTGTTCTTGGGGAAGGACTGAGCGGAAGACCCATTCCGCTTGAGCGGAAGCACAACAACATTTACAGCGCAAGAAGATTCTAGTCCGTTTCTTGACCAGTTGCGCTGTGTTGCTTGCACCGCTCCTCATTCACCCCCTCATGCTCAGAAATACATCACCTCTGGTCGAGCTTGGCCAGTGTGGGGATCCAGCACCGCTTTTCGCGTACGCTGTGGCACAACTCATTCCCATTTCACTTGACCGCGCTTCAATCTCGCTTTCGTGCTGCCATTAATTTTCGATCATGGCGCGCTTTGGTCAGGTAAAAAAATAGCTACTTCGGGAATTGAACGAGTGGGCCAGCGGGAGTCTCCAGCAGCGCATTTCGCGTACGCTGTGGCGCGCCACCCTCAACTCATTCCCATTTCACCCCACCGTGCTTTCATCGCGCTTTCGTGCCGCCATTGATTTTCGATCATGGCGCGCCAGTACCTCGCGCTCGCGCTGCTGCTGCTCGCGGTCACCATCTCGACGACCGCCATGACTTCAGCGAATGGCGCGACGCTCGTCATCAGCAACATCGACCGCAGCCTGACGGTCGACAACTACACCATCTACGGCCAGAACATTTACGACAACGAAACCGGCGTCCAAGTCAAGCCGACCAAAAACCCCGACGGGTCGCTCACGGTGGAAGGCAAGTACACGTGGTACCCGAACGGCACCATCGCCGCACCCGGAGGGATTATCTACATCGCCGGCGCGGCCAGCTTCGTGGAAATCGCGAACACGAAGCTGTACGGCAAGGGCGGCATCGCGCGGAACGCGGCGACGGACGCGGTGATTCCGTGGGTTGAGAATCCCGACGGCTCGTTCACCGCCGGCGACATCACCGGCTGGGCGAACGGCACGTTCCGCGGCTCCAATGGCGTCGTGCTGCGAACGCGCCTCTCGTTCAAACCAACGAATGGCGGCGGAAGCACCGGTAGCGGCGGAGGCACGGGCACCGGCGGTGGCACGGGCACTGGCGGAGGCACGGGAACTGGCGGGAGCACTGGCACCGGCGGAGGAACGGGTACTGGCGGAGGCACGGGTACTGGCGGAGGCACGGGTACTGGCGGAGGCACGGGTACTGGCGGAGGTACGGGCACGGGCGGAGGCACGGGCACTGGCGGAAGCACGGGCACTGGCGGAAGCACGGGCACTGGTGGAGGCACGGACACCGGCGGAAGCACGGGTACCGGCGGTGCCACGGGCACGGGCGGAGGCACGGGCACTGGCGGAGGCACGGGCACTGGCGGTGGCACGGGCACCGGCGGAAGCACGGGCACTGGAGGAAGCACGGGCACTGGCGGAAGCACGAGCACCGGCGGAAGCACGGGCACTGGCGGAGGCACGGGCACCGGCGGAGGCACGGGCACCGGCGGAGGCACGGGCACCGGCGGAAGCACGGGCACGGGCGGAAGCACAGGCACCGGCGGAAGCACGGGCACCGGCGGGAGCACAGGCACCGGCGGAGGCACGGGCACGGGCGGAAGCACGGGCAGCGGCGGAGGCGTGAACCCGGACGGCAGTGTGGCGTTGGGCGCGGACTATAAGGTGCTGCCCAACGGCACGGTGGTCGACGCAGCTGGCAAGCCCGTCGCTCCCGTCGCCAATCCCGACGGCTCGTTCACTGTTGGCGGCAAGTACACCGCCTTCCCCAACGGCACGATTGTGGGTCCCGACGGGTCGGTGGTGGAGAGCGGCAAGAAATTCGCTGTCAATCCGGACGGCACGATCGCTGTTATCGCCGACCCCAGCAGCACCAGCCTGACTGTGAACCCCGATGGCAGCCTGACCGTCGGACCCGGCTACACCATGCTACCTAACGGCCAGGTGGTTGACTCCACTGGAGCTTTTGTCACGCCCACTGTCAACCCGGATGGGTCGTATTCCGTTGCTGGTGACTACACGGCGTACATCAATGGCACGGTCACTGCTCCCGGTGTTTCCATTGCCACTGTCTCCGGCGCGCCTGAATACACAATCGGCAGCACGACGATGCTGGCCAATGGCACGGTGCTGGACGGGGCTGGAAAGCCGATTAAGCCAACGCCGAATGCAGACGGGTCGTTCACGGCGGGTGACATCACAGGGTTTCCGAACGGCACACTTGTGGGCGCCAACGGTGCGGTTGTCAACACTGGCAAGCATTTCGCCGTTGCCCCTGATGGCACCATCGCCGTCACCTCTCCTGCGCCTGGTTCCCTCCCCGCGCCTGGCTCCATCCCTGGTCCCACTCCCTCTACTGACCCCAGCAGCACCAAGCTGACGTTCAACCCGGATGGCAGCCTGTCGTTCGGACCCGGCTATACCATGCTACCTAGCGGCCAGGTGGTTGACTCCACGGGAGCCACTGTTGCTCCCATTCTCAATCCCGACGGGTCCTACTCGGTCGGCGCTGGCTACACTGCCTATGAAAACGGCACGCTCGCAGCGCCCGGTGTTGCCATCGACCGCGTCGGCGCGCTTGGGTACACGATCGGCGGCACGAAGATGCTGGCCAATGGCACGGTTCTGGACGCGGCTGGGGCGCAGATCACGCCGACGGCGAATACAGACGGGTCGTTCACAGCGGGCGAGCTGACTGGGTTTGAGAACGGCACGCTTGTGGGTACGAATGGTGCGGTTGTCAACACGGGCAAGCAGTTCACAGTTAACCCTGATGGCACCATCACTGTCACCTCTCCTGCGCCTGGCTCTGCCCCTGCGCCTGGCTCTGCCCCTTCTCCTGGCTCTGCCCCTGGCCCCACTCCCTCTGACCCCAGCATCACCACCCTGACGTTCAATCCCGATGGCACCCTGACTTCCGGGGCCGGCTATGTCATGTTAGTTAGCAGCGGCGCGGTGACTAAAGTGACTGACTCCACTGGAGCCCCTGTTGCTCTCACTTCCCATCCGGACGGCTCCTTCTCTTTCGGCGATGGCTACACTGCCTACCCCAACGGCACGCTCACAGCTCCCGGTGTTTCCGTCAACCTCGCCGATAATACTGACCCCGGCTTGCACGGTCAGAAGATTGGTCCGCCTGGGTACGCAATAGGCAGCACGCACATTCTCACCAATGGCACGGTGCTGGACGCGGCGGGAGCGCCGATTATGGCGACGGATAACGGGGACGGGTCGTTCACAGCGGGTGACATCACAGGGTTTGAGAACGGCACCCTTGTGGGCGCCAACGGTGCTGTAATCAGCACTGGAAAGCAGCTCTTCATCAATCCGGATGGCACCATCACCGTCACCTCTGGTGTGCCTGACCCCAGCAGCACCACCCTGACGTTCAATCCCGACGGCACCCTGACTCTTGGACCCGGGTATATCATTACACCCGGTTACAAAGGGACGACTAGCGTGGCAGACTCCACTGGAGCCCCTGTTCCCCGCACCTCCAATCCGTACGGCTCCTTCTCTTTCGGCACGGGCAACGCTGCGTACTACAACGGCACGATCACAGCACCCGGCGTTGCCGTCTACCTGAACGACGAATCTGAGCACGGTCAGACTTATGGCCCGCCTGGGTACGCAATAGGCAGCACGCAGATGCTGCTCTACACCGATGGGGCCACGCCGATGCAGCAGTTCACCGGTGGAACGGCGTTGCTGGACGCGGGAGAGCCGGTTAATGCGACGGATAACGGGGACGGGTCGTTCACAGCGGGCCAGCTGACTGGGTTTCCGAACGGCACACTTGTGGGCGCCAACGGTGCTGTGATCAACACTGGCAGGCAGTTCACCATAGGCCCGGATGGCACTGTCACCATCGGCTCTCCTGCCCCTGCCTCTGCCCCTGCCCCTGCCCCTGCACCTGCCCCTGCACCTGCCCCTGCACCTGGCTCTGCCCCTGCCCCTGCACCTGCCCCTGCCCCTGGCTCTGCTCCTGCCCCTGGCTCTGCCCCTGCACCTGGCTCTGCCCCTGCACCTGGCTCTGCCCCTGCACCTGGCTCTGCCCCTGCGCCGGGCTCCCTCCCCGGCCCCGTTCCTTCCCCCGGGCCCCCGCCCTCCAGCGGCGGCAGCGTGACGTTCAATCCCGATGGCAGCCTGTCGTTTGGACCCGATTCCAGCCCCTACACTCGCTTCCCCAACGGCACGGTTGTGGACTCAGCCGGTGCGCTCGTCTCCCCCAGCAAGAACACAGACGGGTCTGTCTCTGTGGGCGGAGACTACACCTTCTATCCCAACAACACCTTCACTGCACCCGGCCTCTCCTTTGCTGAGACCGGCGGGCGGCTCACCATCGGAGCCACGACATCCTGGCCAATGGCACGGTGCTGGATGCAGCAGGGCAGGCGATTCAGCCAGTTGTGAACTCGGATGGATCAGCAGCGACGGCGGGAGATCTGACGGTTTACAGCAACAGCACCATCACAGGGACGAATGGTGCGGCTGTGAGCACCTTCAGAAAGACCACCATCGGCCCCGATGGCACCATCAGCTTTGCTGCTGTTACTCCCAGCCCCAGCACCTCCCCTGCATCTCCCACTCCCTCCTCCGCTACTCCCTCCTCCTCTGCTGCTGCACCGCCACCTCCCAAGCCTGCTGGTATGTTGCTTCTTCCACGCCGTTGTTCTGCTTTGGGTTGGCCACACCACAACCACTGCTCTCGTTTTTTGCAGCTGTACTTTCAGCTTGTCACCCCTCCTTGGTTCCCTCCTTTCCACCCCCTTCTTTCTTGCCATGCAATCACATGCCCTTGGATTGCCGTTTCTCTCGTGTGACTGACTCTCCACTCCGCCCTCCCTTCCCCTTGCCAGGTTCTCTCACTTCACCGGTCACTGCCTTGGCCACCGCCATCACTGTTGCGCTCACCTCCCTGCTCTTTGTGTAGAGCAGTGTGTCACACATGAAACAGCAGGAGACACAAGTCACTGAAAATATATAATAGCAGCAGGAAGACACAAGTGGCAGCACCGCCAGCGTGCTTCAGTACAAGTTGGCTGCTCTATTCTGAAGGGCTGTTGGGATTGTGACTAGGATTTTGCTGGCAGACCTGCCAGGGTTTTTCAGTAGCTAGGTAGGTGGTTCTGATTACCGTACATTAGAATGACTGGCGACTGCTATTGTTTGCATGTTGCTTGACAGGTCAGTTCTGTACAAGCCATGCTGGTCAATGGCATTGTCGTCAAGGATAGGATAGTGGTAGCAGATCCAACTTGAAGCGGTTTCCAGTTGATCCAGGAGGACTATTTCTGAAAATATGCGCTTGGTGCACAGTTCTGCCACTTCTAGAGCAGGGTTTCTGTCCGGCATAGACACAAATCCGGGTGAAGACACTCACTTTCCAAGGTGTTTTCTACACACATCTGTGCTCAATCAGACCCACGAATCACATTACAGTACCTCAATCCTATCCTAGAGACAATGTCATTGACCAGCATGGCTTGTACAGAACAGAATCTGTCAAGCAACATGCACACAATTGCAGTCGACAGTCATTCTATGGTAACCAAAACATGTAGAACGTCCAACCCATAGCTACTGCAATACCCTGGAAGGTCCTCCAGCAAAATCCAACTCACAAACCCAACAGCCCCATGGAATAGGACAGCCAACTTCGACGGAAGCACAGTGGCGGTGCTGCCACTTGACTTGTGTCTTCACAGTGCATTTGGTACCAGTACTGTGTTATTGATGTTTCCACTGACTTGTCTCTTCTGTTGTTTCATGTGTAACACACTGCTCTACGCAAAGAGCAGAGAGGTGAGCGCAACAGCAATGGCAGTGGCCAAGACAGTGACCGGTGAAGCGAGAGAACCTGGCAAGGGGAAGACAAGGTGGAGTGAAGAGTCACATGAGAGCGATAGAAAACCATTTGTGGACGCAAGTGAAGGGTGGGAGAAGGGCGTGTGATTGTCGGAGGGAGGGAAGGGGAGGGGGAGGAGGGGACGCAGGGAAGCGAGGGGCAACATTCTGAGATCACAGTTGCAAAAGACGAAAACAGTAGTTGCGACCAGCCCAAAGCAGAAAACATACCAGCAGGCTTAGGTGGTGGCGGTGAGGCAGAAGAGGAGGAGGGAGTAGGAGATGCAGGGGGGGTGCTTGTGCTGGGGCTGGGGCTGGGACTGGGGATGGGGCTGGGGGCGGAGCTGGGGGCGGGAGAACCTGACAAGTGGAGGGCAGGACGGAGTGGAGACAGCGGGAGTAGAGTCACATGAGAGAGCTAAGAAACGAATAGTGGAAGTGACGTAAGAGATATTTTAGCACAGGGTGTCGGGGACGTGGGCACGCGGCTGCCTGGGACGAAAGAAAAAGGGCGGAAACAGGGAAACAGGAGTGAGGAAACGGGCTGAAATGAAAGCTGCAAGAAACGAGAGCAGCAGATATGTCTTGCACAAAGAAGGCCACTTGAGAAGGCACGGAAGAAGCAACATGCCAGCAGGCTTGGGTGGTGGCGGTGTGGCTGCAGGGGGGGAGGGAGTAGGAGATGCAGGGGGGGAGGGAGTAGGAGATGCAGGGGGGGAGGGAGTAGGAGATGCAGGGGGGGAGGGAGTAGGAGATGCAGGGGGATTGCTGGGGCTGGGAGAAAGAGAAACAGCAGCAAGCTGATGGTGCCGTTGGTTGTTGTTCTGAATGCGTTCACCTCCACACCGTTCGGATTGAGCAGTGGCGTCGGAGTGGGCATGACAAAGGAGAAGGTGAGCAGTGAGCGTGCCAGTGGGGCGGACGGTGAAGTCGAGACCTCTAGAGGAATCAACCACCAGGCCGTTAAGTATGAGGAGGACATAGCTGCGTTCGGAAGTCAGCGAGCGAACTGTCGCTGCGCACCACCGAACCGCCGAACCGTCCGGACACACAATCGTGCCGTTGGGTCAGGCGGAGTACTTCCCGCCGACGGTAAACGAGCCGACGATGAACGAGCCGCCGGGATTGGCGACTCGCTTGCCAGAGGAGTCCACAGCCGTGCCGTTGGGCAGCAGAGTGTAGTCCTTGCCGAACGGCACACTGCCGTTGGGGTTTACGCCCCGCCATTGCCCGTGCTTCCGCCGGTGCCCGTGCTTCCCCCAGTGCCCGTGCCTCAGCCCGTGCCCGTGCCCCAGCCGGTACCTGTGCTCCCGCCGCCGCGGGTGCCGTTCGAAGGCTTGAATTTGAGGCGTGTTCGCAGCACGACGCCATTCGAACCGAGGAACGTGCCGTTGGGCCAGCCGGTGATGTCGCCGGCGGTGAACGAGCCGTCGGAGTCCTTCTCAATCCACGGGTCCACATTGTTTGTCGTGGCGTCCCTCGCGACGCCGTCAATGCCGTACAGCCTCGTCATCGCGATCTGCACGTAGCTGGCCTTGCCGGCGACGGCGATAGTCACACCAGGCGCGACGATGGTACCATTCGGGTACCACGTGTACTTGCCCTCGACCGTGAGCGAACCGTCGGGGTTTTTCTTTGGCTTGACGATGGCTTTGGTTTCGTTGTCGACGATGGTCTTGCCGTGGATGGTGTAGTTGTCGACCGTCAGGCTGCGGTCCGCGTTGCTGATAATGAGCGTGCCGTATTTCGTTGTAGTCACGGCAGTCGTCGAGATGGTGACCGCGAGCAGGAGCAGCGCGAGGACGAGGTACTGGCGCGCCATGATCGTTATCGCCGCTGGTAAGGTGAGCGCGACGCAGGAGAGATTTATGCTGTGGCACAGCGTTTGCGAAAGACGCCGCGCTGGCTCGCTATATGCCCGATGTAGCGAATGCTAAATTCGTCTGGAGTTGATATGGGTGGACACTAGACATGGATAGGTGAGTTGTCGGCCAGTTCCGACTCTTCTTGCGCTGCCCTGGCGGAATGCTTCTTCCGCCCGGTCCTCCCGGACGAACAGGTGTGCGGGATGCGCCATCCACACACACAGCACGAAATCGATGTCCTTACCTTTCCATGAATTGGGTTGGGTTCGGTGGTGGTGCGCCGCCGGCTAGAGCGTGATGATTCGCCGCGACGTAAGGAAGACGATCGTCTCATTCGTGGCGGTTGTCTATTGGCTAGCGTCGAATTTGCAGATGCAAGGCCAAGATTCACTGGCTGCGAATTTTTGCGGCGTCTACAAAAACAAGACATCGCATGGGGGACTCTGTAGGTGTGTTTGTGGCAGCGGAGTGCGCATAGAGCACCCAAGCGCAGTCTTGAGCGACTCGAGGAAGATTTTATGAAGGTCGTGACCCGTTACAAAGCAACGAGCGGAAAGGAAACATACAACTTTAACCTTCCATTCCTAAGAATAGAAAATGGCACGGCCAACCGTCCAACCTGAAGCAGCTAAGGAGACGAGCAGCCTAAGGAGGTTGAAATGGCTCTTCTAGCAGCCATGAGGCCTGCTGATATAAAAGGATGAATTGATTGGATAGGATAAGAGGACACTGAGTTAAGATAGCGAACTTGTGAACGAAAAAACAAGATAACAATAACAGGGCAATACATTGATTCATAAAATCCTGGCAATCCATGTACTCTGATGGGTACGTATTTATCGTATTAACTTAACCGTATTATATTTATCGACATGGTATTAGAGTACGTTCGGGACAAGACATGCGGATTGTGACGCGAGTTCCAGCTTAATACGCTGTATGTGTCAGAAGTAGGAACGTACAAATGATGGACTAGGTAGGAAGAGTGAGTACAAGTACTACCTAACCCTAAAGTGTTGTACCCTTTAGGGTATGCCCCACTACAGCCTACAGAGGACAAATACAATTCGACACACCCCCATAGGCAAAGTGGGGGATAGCAAACACAGCGGACGGTCACAAGACCAGTCAAGCAAGAGAACAAAGCAAAGCAAAGCTCAGGGTGGATCTCAAGATCACCACGCATTCTGAGCACAAGCAAGCGGCCACAAGGCCAGTTCACATGCAGATTTATAAAAGCACAAGCATGCAGGTATATATGTATATATAGATCACAGTACAAGACAAGTCAAGCAACCAGGAGGTGAGGCAGAGTAGGCATAAGGCCTAGAGCAGTGCAGAAACGCTGATGATCACCAGACCCAAGGGCCTTGGTGAAGACATCAGCAGTGTTGGCCCGAGAGGCCACGTAAGCAAGGCGCAGCTGACCACGCTACTGCAGCTCTCGAGCAAGAAAGTAACGAAGAGCAATGTGCTTCGTTCTGTGCTCCAGTCTCTGCTCCTGACACAAGGCAATCACGGCCTTGTTGTCAACGTACAGAACCGGAGGAGAACGAGGCCGCTCACCCAAGTCGGTCAGCAGGTAGGTCAGCCAGCGTAACTCCTGTGCAGCCATGGCCCCAGCATAGATCTCGGCCTCACAGCTGGAACTAAGCACAGAAGACGGACGAGTGGACCTCCACGAGACAGAACCAGAGCCGAGACTGAAAGAGTAACCCTGGGACGACCGCTGAGTCACCTGGTCGTCAGCCCAAGAAGCGTCGGAGTGTCCTGTGAGTACCACTGGACCCCGTCCTCCAAGCACAAGCCCCATGCCCGATGTACTGAACAAGTAACGCAGTACCCTCTACGCAGCTGTCCAGTGCTCCTTCCCGTGTATCCCGGGGGCGACGAAGCGAGCAAGGATGCTGAGAGGGTACGCGAGGTCAGGTCGTGTGCACGTCATCAGGTACATGAGGAAGCCCACAAGCTCTGGATACGGGCCACTTGGCTCTACAGACTCGTCCGAAGGTGGAGCTGAGAGCGAGTGGCCTGTAGGCAGAGGAGTGGGCTGTGGCGAGGAGAACCGAAAGCGGAAGCGCTGAAGGACCTGGTGCACCATGTGTGACTGAGTAAGAGTGATGGTGCACCGTGCTCTGTCCCGGGTGATCTGCAAGCCAAGATAGCTACGCAGCTCACCCAGGTCAGTGCAAGTATGTCTCTTCTGCAGCTCCGCCTTCAC